GCTTGTAACAGAATATTGCTGGGGAAGTGTGATTCTGTGTCAAGGTGATGGTGACCCTGAAGTAGCACAATAAAAGTAGCAGCTTTGAATGACTTTCATTCTTTCGAGAGAAGAAAGGCTAGAGCATGCACTAGGGACCCCAGCTTGGCAAACTCACGGAGCAGTGTCCTTGTGTAGTGCTAACATCTTGGTCGCTTTAATGACGCAGGCGTAGATAAAGCTGGAAAGCCCTCCGAAGATGGACGTGGGTATAACTGGTTCTGGTCCAGTAAAGCACCTCTATACTGGCATAGGGGGCTTCTACCCCAGGAGGGGTTTTTTTCCTAGGGTAAAAAGAGCACTTCTCTGACCACCCTTCTTCTGGCTGGCAAACGTTTAAGTACAGATCAAGCCCAGTCGATGGGACTGCTTATTTGGTAGAAGCTAAACTCAGTCGAAATATGTGCAGGATCGAGGCCCAACTAGGGAATCGGGCCAAAGCGCAGTGGTGCCAGGGGTTTGCACTGCCTCTGTAGGTCCCTGCATTAGCTGTGGTGCTGACAGAGTCCCCGGGATTGTTGGCTTCTCTCCTTGATGCCCTAGCCAGTTGTGCAATTCCACCACATAATGAAATATGAAATGTGTTTTGTAACCATTTGTTTTCCCTGCTCTGTCCCACTGCAGCTGGCCCTGTATAAGATGGGCGGTTTGGCAAGAGCTTTGCCTGGGGGAGAAAAAAAAACGTTTCCTGAAATTGGTGTGCAAGAGAGATGTGGGTGTGAGAGAGAGAGAGAGATGTGGAGGGGTGCGTGATAAGCATGTGTGTGCATGAGAGGTGTGGGTCATGTGTGATAGGTGCGTTAGAGATGTGGCCGTGTGTGATTGTGGGTGTGAGAGATGTGGAGTGGTGTGTTGGGGGTGTGGGGGAGAGAAATGGGGGCACATGTGATAGGTGTGTGAGAGATGTGGGCATGTGTGTGCAAGAGAGGTGTGCATGTGTGCGATATGTGTGAGATGTGGGTGTGTGTGTGTGGTAGGTGTGTTGGGTGTGTATAAGATAGGTATGTGTACGTGTGATAGGTGTGTGAGAGACGTGGGTATGCGTGATAGATGTGTGCATATGCGTGTAACAGGTGTGTGAGATAAATTTGTGGGCATGTGTGATAGGTGTGTGCATGCATGTGTGAGATGTGGGCATGAATGATAGGTGTGTGTGGTGTGGGCATATGTGATAGGTGTGTGTGCATATATGATGTGCGTGTATGAGAGATGTGGGCATGTATCTGATAGCTGTGTGTGCATGCATGCGATGGGGTGTGTGAGATTTTGTATGAGATGGGTGGGCTTGTGTATGATATGTGTGTGTGCATATGTGTGATAGGTGTGCATGAGGGAGAGATGTGGACATGTATGCTTGATATGCATGCATGCATGTGATAGGCATGTGTGTGAGATCTGGGGGGTGTCTGTGTGTGTGATAGGTGTGTGTGCATGTGAGAGAGAGAGAGAGATGTGGGCATGTGTGATAGGTGTGTGAGAGATGTGGCTGTGTGTGCGCAAGAGAGGTGTACATGTGTGTGAGAGATGTGGGTATGTGTGATAGGTGTGTGCATATGCATGTAATAGATGTGCGTGTGAGATGCCAGCATGTGTGATGTGTGTGCATGCATGTGATGGGGGTGTGCATGTATGTGTGAGAGAGATGTGGGCATGCATGATAGGTGTGTGTGTATGTGCATGATAGGTGTGTGTGATGTAGGCATGTGTTATAGGTGTGCATGCATATATGATGTGCATGTATGAGAGATGTGTGCATGTGTCTGGTAGCTGTGTGTACATGCGTGTGATAGGTGTGTGTGAGAGATCTGTGTGTGAGATAGGTGGGTGGGCATGTGTACGATATGTGTGTGCATATGTTTGATAGGTGTGAGGGAGAGATGTGGACATGTGCGATTGATATGCGTGCATGCATGTGATAGGCATGTGTGGGAGAGATCTGGGGTGGCTGTGTGTGTGATAGGTGTGTGGGCGTGTGTATGATAGGTGTGTGCGCATGTGAGTGAGAGAGATGTGGGCATGTGTAATAGGTGTGTGCACATGTGTGTGGGAGATAGAGAAACAGATGGTGAAGGGGCAAAAGAGCCTGCTCCGGTGGCGGAATAAGCACCCGCTTGCTTGCCACCCCCGGGAGCAGGGGACGCTTGGCTGCATCAGGGAGTCACTTTCCCAAGACGCTCCGGGGTCACGCGCTGTGTCTCGCCCTTGCCCTCAGCTCACACCAAGTCCAAGTCCCACCTGCACCACCTGAAGAAGAGGCGGAAGCTGGAGTCGGAGCTCTGCGCTGCTGGAAGCCAGGAAACAGATGGCGACAGTGATGGGGCCAAGGACGTGAGCGAGGACAAATGCTAGGCACGATCCTGCAGAGCCCCTGACGCCGAGGGGCAGCCATGGGTCCCTGGCCTGGTCTGAGCGGAGCTCAGCGAGGAGCTGGAGCTGCATCGCTGTTGGCAGCAGGCAGGTGCTCCACTCAGGGGAGGACTCCTGAACTCCTGCCTGAGCTGGGCCGAGCCTTCAGGGAGCCCGTGGAGGCAATATGGGCGGCCATGCAGCGTCCCAGCCCCTGCACGTAGGTTCTGCTGCTGGCACACGAGCGTGTCATTCTCAGGGACAGAATTACTTCGAGCTCGGTTCAGCCTAGGCCAAAAATGCAGACAGGTGCGCCTGGCTGCCCATGCTGCTTTCTGTTTTTGAGGCTGCTGTGGGGTTTTTTACATCTAAATAAAGGTAAACTATTGGTTTTTTGGTAAAGTGACCAGCCGCTAATACCAAGCAGTCTCTGCTTTCCCTGAGCAGGTCATGGATATGTGGGACATCCCTAGTCCAGGTCTGTTTTCCAGTCCCTTGTTCTGCATGTGGTGAGGGGATTGAGAGCATATCCTCGGTGTGGTGCAGGCTGAAAAGGGGCCTTTTTCTAATGCATACTGCAGGGAGGGAACATACAATCCCCTGATAGATGGGAAGTGTAGGATGGTCTTGCCCCAAAGTTTACAACAGCTGAGTATGAGCAAACCCCCCAATCCCAGGGGTCTATGCTGTGGGAGATGCCTTGTTTCCACTGATGCCTGGGAATCAATGCTGTGTTTGAAGCAGCTCTGCTTCCCTTGGGTTTCCTTGCTGGCAGGTTTGACCTGGTGGCAGATGCATGCGTTTCCTTCCTGACAGATCAGAGGGCAGCAGCCGAGCCACCACCAGTGCTGCTTCCCCCGTGCACAGCTGAAATACGAGCCGCAACGTCCTCTTGCTGGGCCCCTGGGCCTCCCATTGCAAAGGGAGCAACTGGAACGTGGCTAAGGTTTCTCCCGTGTGGGCTTCTCGCTGCCAGAGCTCAAGGTGTTCCCGCAGCTGCTCTCAGTTTGCTGAGC